CTGGTGGAACCTATAGGTCAGGTCTTTATTTTCCGGAAAGGAGAAGGAGAATATTTATTGAGTGCTCATATTCAGGAATCTCTCACTGTTGCAGTTTGAGGCTTGACATTTTTTCTTCAATCCTTTCGGTTTAAGATCTGCTGAACATGTTCTTCTTTTCAGTTCTCTTGCTCGAGGGTCTTGGTACATTTTATCGTACTTGACTTTGTCTTGTCGCGCTGCCTTTTGAAATGTTCTGTTTGGCTCTTTTTCTGTATCCTTTCTTCCATTTGCCTCAGCTACTCCATGATAAAGGTTAAGTTTTATCATCTCTCTGACATCCACTTTGACCAGTGGTCAGAGTCAATCAGTTTGCACCTCGCTGGTAGACCTGATACCCTATTTTTTGTTAAGTTCAATGAACTGGTTGTTAAAATGGCACTTGCAATCAGGATTCTCTCACAGGTGAGTGGCTGGGCAGAGCTCCAATGTGGAAATCACAAATTTATATTCATCAGCGTATTTTTTTATGTTGATCAGTATATTCTAAATGCCTATAGTGTTGTTCATTCCATCAATGGGTATAAAAATTATATGGAAGCATGCTTTTAATAGCTATTTATTCATCTCATAAAACTCACTATATTCTTAATGAAAACTACATTTTTATTCACTTTCATTTATTTCAATAAACAATCATATAGCATAAACAGAAAAGTGCCAAACAACCAGAGGATGACACAGTGCTTTCATTTAAGCCCCCAAATCCCACAAGCTATTAGGAATGAATCATGCAATTCCTGAAAGTGTGGCAAAGAGCTAAAATATTGTCAGCACGCACGATTGCTGTTAAGTTCAGCATAAGCAGAAAAGGGTTTTTCAAAGAGGAAGATATATTCAGAGAAAAGAAGTCGGCTGTTTCTAATATATCAAACACAATGGCTATTGCCTAATTGGTCTGACTCTAAAGGAATGGGATCCTGCACCTACAGTGAAAAGATGGATAAGGGTAAATCACACATCTGGTGACGCTTGGATAAAAGCGAAGAATACCGCAAGTGAGAATGCCAATCAAGAAGCACTAGGGAAGGTGGGCATCATGGAATGCCAGTTTAATAGAACAAAGTCTTCTTGCATTGAGTACTTGAGTGGAGGCCCAATGTCCATCTGCTACCTTAATACTAAACCTATACATATATGCACATAGATCTATTCCCCCATCATCATAAATAAGTATATTTCTCAACATCATAAATAAGTATATTTACATATGTACATACCTACATCTAGACCTCCACAAGTGCCCTTGACCCCTAATTCTTTCCTCTATTTCCTTTTACTTTCCTCTTGTCCCACTATCATGGGTTTCAGTAATTCCTCTCAGTTACATTACCCTTGCTCAAGCCCTACCAGGCCTCTTACACCCTCCTCACCACCGATTTTGGATCACTTGTTGTTCCCTTGTCCCTGAGTTTGTTAACACCCACTTCCTTTCTCCCATCTCGCCCTCTCCCATGTTCCCCTGGAACCATTGGTCCTGTTGTTTTCTCCTCCAGATTGTTTATCCAGGTATGCTCTCTTCTTGATTCACTCCATTTTGGGGGTTCAGACCGCACTGCTTCCCCAACATGTGACCCCAGATAGGTCCTCTGTCGCAGCCTGCTCTTCTAAGGGGACAGCATGACACATGCTGTTGTCATTTGCCCAGTCCCTTCTGTGTCCCATTAGCTCCCCGCAGGGACGTCATCCTCCAAGCCTCGTGTGCCAGTGTGGGGTCCAGTCCTGCTCTCTTTCTCTTCCTCCCTCCCGGCCTGCCTCCATGTGGGTGTGGCAAGCTGGCCCCTCTCCCCAACCTGTAGGTTTAGAGGGCAGATGGGTGCATGGACAAATGTGGTGAAGAAAGCTGATGGCTATCAAAAGATAAAGCGTCTGGGGTCTTAAAGGCTTGAAGGTAAACAAGCGGCCATCTAGCTCAGAAGCAACAAAGCCCACATGGGAGAAGCACACCAGCCTGTGTGATTAAGAGATGTCAAAGGGATCAAGTATCAGGCATCAAGGAAAAAAAAATCATATCCTTATGAATGAGGGGGGAGTGCAGATTGGGGACCCAAAGCCCATCTGTGGGCAATTGGACATCCCCTTACAGAAGGCTCATGGGGAGGAGATGAGCCAGTCAGGGTGCTGTGTGGCGATGAAACATACAACTTTCCTCTAGTTCCTAAATGCTTTCTCCCCACCCACTATCATGATTCCAAGTCTACCTTACAAACCAGGCTAGACTAGAGGATGCACAGTGGTACAGATAGGAACTGGAAACACAGGGAATCCAGGACGGATGAACCCCTCAGGATCAGTGGTGAGAGTGGCGATACCTGGAGGGTAAAAAGAAGGTGGAGTAGAAAGGCGGGGCTGATTGCAATGATCTACATATTACCTTCTCTCTGGGGGACGGACAGCGAAAGGGTGGGTGAAGGGAGACGTCGGATAGTGTAAGATATGACAAAATAATAATTTTGTGAAGGATTTGTCAGGGGTTCATGATGGAGGGGGGAGCGGAGAAGGAGGGGACAAAATAAGGAGCCAATGCCAGGGGCTCAAGTGGAGAGCAGATGTTTGGGGCATGATGATGGCAGCAGATGTACAGATGTGCTTGACACAATGGATGTGTGTATGGATTGTGATGGGTGTTGTACGAGCCCCCAATAAAACGATTTTTTTAAAAGCACTATGGAAATATCTTAACAGTTTTTGTCAGGTATTATTGTCATTAATATTTTAAAACTCATAATCTAGTTTTATATACCCACTTGTTAAAATATTAATTGTATGATATTATAAATTGACTTTTGGTATATCCGTTTTTTAATATTTAAAATGGTCATTAGGTTAGCAAACCAGTTGGTAAATTGTTTGAATCCCACCCTGACTTTGATGTTTTCTTTCTTTCCTGTCTCTTTAATGACATGATTTCTTCATGTATGATGTTCTCGATGTCATCCCACAGCTCATCAGGTCATTAGTGTTCAATGTGTTCAATCTGTTCTTGCGGTAGTGTCAAAGTTCAGGTAGGACATACTCAAGATTGTGTTTTGCAAATATTATTTGCAAATTTTGAATGATGCCGAAGCATCAAAAGAAGATGGAAAGAATATATATTCACGGTACCCAAACAGCTAGTCAATATTCAATCATTTCAAGATGCAGCATATGAGCAAGAACCAATGATGCTGAAGGAAGATATTCAAGCTAGATTGAAGACATCAGTCAAAAAGCAAAGCTACAGGAATTGATGGTATGCCAAATATAATGTTTCAACAAGCCACTGGAGTACTGGAAGCACTCACTCATTTACGCTAAGAAATTTGAAAGACAGTACCTGGCCAATTGCCTGCAAGAGATCCATAGTTGGACTCATTTCCAAGGAAAGGTGGCCCAACAGAATACTCAAATTTCAGAACAATATCATTGATATTGCATGAAAGTAAAATTTCGCTGAAGACCATTCAACAATGGTTGCAGTAATACATTGACATTAAGTTGCCAGAAATTCAGGCCAGATTCATATTCAAGAGACACTGCTGATGTCAGATGAATCATGGCTGAAAGTAGAGAATACCAGAAATATGTTTACCTGTGTTTTATTGATTATGCAAAGGCATTTGACTATGTGGATCATAGCAAACAATGCATAGCCTTGAAAAAAATGGGAATTCCCAAACAGTTATGCTCTGATGGAACCTATCCATGGATTAGGTGGCAGTTGTGCCAAGTGAATTCTGCACTGTTTAAAGTTAAGAGGGGAAAGGTGTGCATCAGGGTTGTATTGTCTCACATATTTATTCAACCTGTATGCTAACCAAATAATCAGAGAAGCTGGATTATCTAAAGAAGAATGTAGCATCAGGATTGGAGAAAGGCTTATTAATAACTGCAACATGCAGCTGACACAATCTTGTTCCCTAAAGCAAGGACGACTTGAAGCACTGGCTGTTGAAGATCAGAGATTGCACCCTTCAATCTGGATTACAAAATCCTGACAACTAGACCAACAGGTAACAGCATGATAAATGGAGAAAAGATTGAAGTTGTCAACGATTTTGTCTTGTTTGAATCCACATCTATGCACATGGAAGCAGCAATCGATTGATCAAATGAAGCACTGCATTGGGCAAAAGACACAAGACCTCTTAATGTGTTGAAAAGCAAAGGTGTTATTTTGAAGACTAAGGTGTGCCTGACCCAAGGCATAGTATTTTCAGTCACCTCATATGCATGTGAAAATTGAACATTTAATAAGGAAACCTAAAGAAGAATTGATGTATTTTATGGTGCTGGTGGAGAATACTAAAAGTACCACAGACTGGGAAAACAACAAACAAATCTCTCTTGGAAGGAGTACAGCTGGAATGCTCCTTAGAAGCAAAAAAGAAAAAAGAAACTCTAATTCATGTACTTTGGACATGTTATCAGGAGAGTCCAGTCCCGAGAAAAGGACATCATGCGTGGCAAAGTGGAGAGAGAGCATGAAAGAGGAAGATCCTGGGCAAGATGGAGCGACACAGTGGCTGCGATGATGGGACTCGTACATAGCAATGTGAAGGATGACACTGCACCAGGCAGTGTTTTGTTCAGGTGTACATAAGGTCACGATGAGTCAGAACCAACTGGAAGGTACTGAAAAAACAACCATAAAGTACGCAAGAAGATGGACTACATCAAAATCTGCCTCTGGGAGCAGCAAGTCACGGGAGGCTTTACAGACAGGGCAGACAGCTTCTGGAGTAGTCTGGCCTATGGGACAGTCCATCGGGTTCTCAGATTATTCTCTTTGCTCTTTGTCAGATCGTCTTAATCGGCAGTTATGAGAAAGTCCATATGTTGATTATAGGGACTGGGTCTATATTATTTTGTTTCGATTTAATGCATGAATTTGGAGGAAGTTGAACCCTTCTAAGGTCAGAAGAATGAAAACATAGTGAAACTAGGAAGGTGAGAAAGAACCAAACACGCTCACAACTTACCAGGCATGAGGTCCTTTCCTTCTGTCCTCCCCCCCGGAATCAGGGCTTTCCACGCAGAAGTCACGTACAAGACGCCAAGTCATGAACTAAAGACAGAAGGGAAAAGTCCAAGTAGCGTCATAGGAATTCCTGCGGTGTTTTCTCTCACATCTAAGCACACTGGAGCCCCTTAATGGCACCAGAAAAGATACATAGTTTTAAAAGCTTCCATCTTTAATGTAAAAGCGATGCACAACCGGAATACAGATCAACACCAACTGTGGCTTGACACCCCGTGAGCCAAAGTTTACTGGCGAATCCCAAACAGATGCACAAATCTGAGCACAGTAAACCTGGGCGAAGATGACAGTGGGATTTAGAGCTGGGAGGGTTGAAATCTGCCATGGACTAGATAAGCATTTCTAATGACTCCTGAACATTAGTTAAACGATCTGTGTCTTTGTTACAGACTGGCAGGTAAATTAGACCCATTAAAGGATAATTTGGGAAATAATGGTGATGATAATGTTAATACAGTAATAACAGCACTCCAGTCTGACCTTGGCTGGGTTATGATTCCAGGCAGCTTCCTCCAAGCCCAACCCTTTAGCTTGTCCTGGCTGCCCAGAGCTGATCATCAGAGCATCTGTGTCCATTCACGGAGCTGAAAGGCAACCTCCTACCCCTGAACTCTGAGTAAATAAACATGACAGTAAGCCCTCCTATGAATGCCCACCCATGAGAATTGTGAAGGCTTGGCAGTTCTAAAACTACAGACAGATTTAAAGGGCCTTTGCCATTTACTGGACAACCTCTGTTAAATAGGAAGACTTACTGGGGCCAATGACTCTAAAACAATAAATACAAAAAACACGGGAGTCAAGCCCAAACCCATACAAGACCACCTGGCAGGTTGCAGAGCAAATCTAAACACGCCGCCTTCTCCAGAAGCAAATGTAGAGGGAAACCACCATGCACGGCTCAGCCCATCCGAACTCTTGAAACACTCTTGTAAGCCAATATTTCATTCTAGCTAATTTTCAGCCGAATGTCTGCAATTGCTAGGTGGAAGCTGGAAAGAAGAAATTATCTGTTCAATGCCTATGGACAAACCTAGGCTTTGTTTGTGTTTCAGATGGGCAAGCCCTGGGTCAGGAGTTGAGAAATATTTTGGGAAGCGGTAGTGCTGGAAATACAAGGAAATAACGGCTGCCTCTGAGGAGGAGGCAAGCATAGCACTCACCCTTCATTATCTTCCTTTTCTATTCCCGAGTTCGTCATTTTTCCCTTTGCAAGACTTTTTTAACATTTGGGGTTGCATTTTCAGATAACTGCTCACTGCAATCTATTTCTCCTTGGTGAAAGGGGGGAAAGAGTACAAAGCACAGCCTCCACAATTGTTCTTGCCAATAATTTCTGGATCCACTTGGGGCTGATCTCATCCTTATCCTCCCTCCAGCACCCATCAAAATAATGGATGGTGTAACTTCTCCCCAGTCATGCTGGGATGAATAGTAACATGCTGTGTTGGGGATTTGGGGCTTCTCTCTGATTAATAGGTATTCCTGAATCAGCCCCACCACTGTTTTCTTTAGGTTGGGGGGAGGAACCTATGGAGGGTGGGGGTGGGTGTCAGAGAAGACCAAACCCCATTGGCCATCAAGTCAAATCACACTCATGGTGACCCCATGAGGGCTTCCCTTGGACTGTGCTCTGCAGCATTTCTCAAGGCTGGGTCTTCAGAAGGTGGTTACCACTCCTCTCTTCTGTGACACCCTCCGAGTGGACTGAAACCTCCAACCTTTCCATTAGCGGCCGAGCGTGGGAACCATTGGCACCATGCCGAAATCCCATCTGAGGGGAAGGAGGGAGTATTTCCTATTACACGAAAAGAATTGCTGTCATTTACTCTCATCTGGTGGTTTCCCCAGATGGACAGTGTTGGGAAGGACCCAACAGTGGCATGGCTGTTAAGACAATGGGCTTGGAGTCAGAATGGCCCAGATATCTTGCTCGGCCAAGAGGGAAAGCCACTTAACCTCTGCTCAGCCTCACTGCCTTCACTAGCAAGTGGAAGTAATATCACTGCCTATCTTACAGAGATGGTGCAGAATCTACGTCTGGGTTCAGGGGAGCCATGACCCAAGTGCCTGCCCCCTGTGGACTCAGCTTGCTGAATGCTGCCAGGAGTCCAGGCAGGATCCCTGGGGAGGGAGAGTGGTCAGTTCCACCAATGAGTCCTTCAACCAGCTGTGGTTACCAGAAACACAGAGAAGAGAGCCCAGGGGGTTCCACTAGGCAGAGGTGCCATGTTTAGGTTTTAACCAGGCCCAAGCATGAGTTCAAGGGACACATAGACGCTAATGAAAAGGTCAACATCTCTGGTAGTGTTTACAGCCTCAGGGTCAGGGTTTCAAGAGGTAATACATGTGATAAGCCTCTGACAAGTCATGCTTTCGTCCCCTCTAGATGGTCAAGCAGGACCACTAGAGCTCACTGGTTCTCAGTCTGGTCCTGGGACCAGCACCAACACCAGCAGCAGCGAGGTCTGGAAACTTGATAGAAATGCAGAGTTGGAGGCCCTACGCTCAATCTAATAAATCCAAAAGCACAGAGGTGAAGCCCAGCAGTGTGTGCACTAGCAAGCCCTCCAATGGAATGTGATGCACATTAAAGTTGGGGAACGACTGCTACAGTGCCCTTAGCTTCCCCTTATGGGGGGGGCCCTCTTGTTGACACTAGCTTCCCCTTATGGGGGGCCTCTTGTTGACACTCAAGAAAACAAAGCCCCACTTTTCTAATTCGCCAGTTGATGAAATGAAGCCAACCCATCCTCAGGAGGAAGTTGTTAGGGTATGAGTAAGCAGGTGTGTGTGTGTGTGTGTGTGTGTGTGTGTGTGTGTGTGTGAGAGAGAGAGAGAGAGAGAAGTCAGTAAGCTACAAGCTTTTAGTCCTCGAAGGGGTGATAAAATTAATTAGTCCTCTTACTTTGAAAGGCCTTCTAGAATCAAGTGCTAAATGGAGTATGCTGTGTTTACTCACTCCAGGATCTCCTCAGTTTATGAGGGATTAGCACTAGGAGCTAGGAGTGATTAGGCTCTTTCAATAGGCAGATGGCACCACCTTGCTTGCTGCAAGTGAGAAGGACTCGAAGCACTTGCTGATGAAGATCAAAGATTGCAACCTTCAATATGGATGACAACTTCATGTAAAGAAAATCAGAATCCTCGCAACTGGACCAATCGTGATAAATGGAGAGAAGACTGCAGTTGTCCAGGATTTCATCTTGCTTGGATCCACACTCAATGCTCATGGCTGCAGCAGCCAAGAGACCAAAAGCCATCACATTAGGTACATTTGCTGCATAAGCCCTCTTTGAAGTGTTGCACAGCATGGACGGTACTTTGAGGACTAAGGTGCACCTGATCCATGATACTTTCAATCACCTTGTGTTGCATCAGAAAATTGGACATTGAAGAAGGGAGATCAAAGAAAAATCGATGCATCTTAACCACAATGTTCATGAAAAATATGGAAAGTACCATGGACTGCCAAAGGAACAAACGAATCTGACTTGGAAGTACAGGCAGAATGCTCCTAGAGGCTAGGCTGGTGAGCCTTCGTCTCACATACTTGGGACATGCTATCAGGAGACATCAGTACCTGGAGAAGGACATCATGCTTGGTAAAGTGGAGGGCAGGCAAAAGAAAGGAAGACCCTCAATGAGACAGATTGTCACAGTGGCTGCAACAATGGGCTCAAACATAAAGAACAATTGTGAGGATGGCCTAGGACCGGTGGAATTTTGTTCTGTTTGCTATGCGTTGAAACAAAGGCACCTTACCACAACAGCATTTTACCTGTCTGGGTTCTAATATCCATTGCTAGGGCTACACAGAACTCATACACCAAATTTATGTTTTAAAATGTTATTAAGAAAGTTGACAAACAAAAAGAAAGTTAACAAGTTGCAATGCCAGCGAGAAATGCTCAGGGCTGAGTTGTTTATCTGGACATGTTTACTAAGTTCTTTCAGGTCCACTAATGAATGCCCAAAGGGCAGACCACCCTCCTCTGTAAGCCTCAATCAGAAGGCAGTCAGCTCAAGCTCTGTAAATCAGCAAACCCGGCTCCCTGAATTCAGTACGCAGAGGCAGCCCATCCACGAGCCAGCTTCCTGCACCCAGCTTCCTGCACAAAAGCACTCAGCTTTAGTTGCTCCATCAGTTAGAAAGCTATCACTGTTTCAAACTCTGGCTCCTGGTTCTATTGCTGAACCACTGGTGTTATAGTGTTCTTCTGGATCCAGGAGGTTCACTGCACAGGATTCTCAGGTCCAGAAGATGTGCTCCACACCTGGCTCTTGCTGGTGATGAGATATCTCCTCCTGCTTCTCAGAGGGCTCATTTTATACACAGCAAAATGGCACCCCAGGGAATCCTGTTCAAAATTACTCATAGGTGAATCCTATCAGTATCTTCCCCACCTTCCTGCCAGACCCAGGCAGGAAGAGATCGTTTGGTGGGAGTTAGAGACTTTGACTAGAAGAGCCACATTAAATCACTCACTGCCCCTGTAGGGGTTTATTGGGTAACCTATCAGTCAGGAAGTTAACAGGATCAGTAAACAGTAAGGAGTCCTCTCCTGGGTCAAGTCTCTCTGGGGTCCTCAACCTCTCGGCTGCATGATCCCTTGGCCTCTGACTCAAAATCCCATAGTCTGAGCGCTGCTCCTCTGCTCTATCCCATAGTCTCGCTGTGGGTCTCAAAGATCTGGAGTGTGCTCTCCTAGTGTCTCAGCCTTCTCTGCTGCTTCCGACCTGGCTCAACATTACAGCCAAGCGGGGCGACATTGAAAATGGACCAATCCCCGTTATTAGGGTTACATGTGTCCTATGTGCACAGCCCCACTCAATCATTGAGTGGGATTTACAGAGACCGGGTTAGAAGGGCAATGTTTAGAGAGTTCAATCGACCATAGTTAGGCAACACAGATTACCTAATTAGAATAGGCATTGCTCCAACCCCAAGGTTCAAGACAGTTTAAGCAGGGTGGGGCACAAAGGGGTTTTATATCCGTGTATGGGAATGTGGTATTATTGTGCTCCCGTGAGGATTGATCACTTAATGACAGACAAACGGACATCAAAACCAAAAAGCCAAACCCATTGCCATCAAGACACGGTGACTATAGGACAGAGTAAAGATGCCTATACGGTTTCCTTGGAGGTCATCTTTTCGGAAGCAGACTGTCAGGCCTTTCTCCTTCGGAACCACTGAGGGGTGCAACTTGCAATCTTCTGGTTAGCAGTCAAGCGCTTAGCCCTTTCACTCCAGGGCTCCTTCCAAATAATTGTATTTCTCCAATTTTAAGACATGCTTTCATTTTTCCTTTCAGAACTTTTTTACATTTCTGAAATCTTAGGATCATTATATATTTAATGTAAGATTTAACCCCCACTCCCACAAAGCTGATGGTTACATAAATGATGTATCTTACATTTCAGTGTTGTATAATCAAGGTTGGATGCTCTTGTCTCTAATTCTCTCTTCTCTTTTTAATGACACTTTATACTTCTCACTGCAACATAATTGCTTCCTTACTTCTTTTGCATCAACTGTGAGTTCCTTAAGGAAAACAAAACTAGCAGTGGCCAAACCCATCATTCTATCAGAGTGGGTCTGAGCTCAATAGATGTTCCACGGCCTGTCTGTTATGGAGATAGGTGGCTCAGCTAGCGGCTGCGCACATTAGTAGTTTGCACAACCCAGGAGCTCCCCTGACGGACAAAGATTGTTTTATTCATCTTGGTGTATTTCCTGCCCTTTGCAGCAACTGACTAGAATCTGGCACATAGCACACACACGAAAAACAAACCCTAAACTCTTGCCATGAAGTCAATCCCTACTGTTAGCAACCCTATGGGACATAATAGAACTGCTCCATAGCGCCTCAAGGCTTTGGTCTTTATAAAGGAGCAGTGGTGGCACTGTTGGGTAAGCATTGGACTGCTAACCAAAAGGTCATTGGTTCAAACCCATAAACTTCTCCTCTGGAGAAGGTTAAGTCTGTCTGCTACTCTCAAGGTTTATAGCCTTAGAAACTCTATATTGAATCACTGTGAGTTGGAATCCACTCAGCACCAGTGAATTTAATTGCTGTTGTTGCTTTTTAATCTTTACAAATGTAGACTGACACATCTTTGTCCCAGAGAAATAGCTAGCTGGTGGACTTGAGCTGCCAATCTTTTGAATTAACAACAACTGAATGGTGAGACCCTGGTGACACAATAGCTATGCATTGGGCCATTAACTGCAAGGTCAGCAGTTCAAAACCACCAGCTACTTTGAGGGAGAAAGATGAGGCTGTCTACTCCTGTAAAGATAACACTCTCAGAAGGCCAAGACAGTTCAACCCTGTCCTACTGCATCGATATGAATTGGAACTGAGTTGATGGCAGTGAGTTTGGTTTGGATTTGGTGCTTCACCGCTGGGCCACCAGGCTTCTTTTTATGCACACTGCTACTTACTTGCTCTGTCTTCCTCCCTTGGAGCGGCTGGTGGGTTCGAGCGGCTGATATTGTAGTTAGCAACCCAAAGCATACCCACTCTGCTGCCACGGCTCCTTCTGGTACACAGTAGGTACCAACAGTTGTTTTTGGATTTTTTAAAGCATAAATGAACAAGCCTATAAATGAATGAACAATTTCATAATTACAATTCAAAGCTATCCAAAGACCTTTCCCCCCAAAGTAGACATTTCATTTGTTTCTGTAGTCTGTGCTAAATCTGTAATACCGAAAATGTTTTTGAGCACTCACGCTGTACCAGGCTCTGTGCTAAGAGCTTTTTATGCAATATTTCCTCTAACTTTCAAATGAACCCTCAGTGGATAACATCATGATCTTCATTTAGGAGCAGAGATACGCTTACTCAGAATTACCAGCCCAAATTAGCCAGTCTGTACGTCAGAACATCATTTTTCAACCAGGTCTATCTCACCCACATCCTGTCCACATTTAAAATATGCCTAGTTTATACCCCAAATTCTGACATGAAGCACTAATTCCTTTGGAATGCCAAGTTGGTGGACCCTTCTCATCCCTTGACAGTGATGCCCAGATGTCCTGCTGAGTCAGGTTCAGGAAATTGAGACATGAATTACCTCCAGGTTACGTCTGTGGTACCAAGCCCCAGCTCAGGAAAAGATACCTAGGCAAATGGCACAGTTTGCATATTTCCCTCATCTGCTGGGGATTTTCTTTTATCCTGTTTCAAACGGATGAGGTTTATCTTCACATTGCAACTTTGAATGAGAATCACATTCTTACTAAATCAGACACTTTTTCTCCCCCTTGGAAAGAATAACAAGACACCCTAATGAGAAGATAGTGTAAAATATTCAGCCTGAATTAAATGTATAAGGGAAGTCCCACTAGATATGTAAAATGCATGTCGAGTCAGATTACCTGAAACAAAGTGTTAGGAATTTCTTGCTATTCCTCGATTTTTGTTTTCTTCTTCCTTTGTATGTAGTAAGAGACTCCTTTTTGTTTTGTTTTGTTTAATCTAGGTTCGATACCTGGCCATCCCAAACTGAGACTCTGTCTCAGACTCCCTGGGTCAGGGTCAGGTGTCTAAATTGTAGCCAATAATCTTAAGTGGAAGTATCGTGTGACCGCTCTAAGAAACCTCTTTAAAAGTGCTGCTGCCATGGACTTTGGGCCTCTACTTACATCTTACCTCAGTACAAGAATGGTGTGTTCTAATGATGTGGCATTCTGTGATGCTCACCTTCCTGGACACAATAGCTGAAGACTAAATGGGTGCATAAGCAAAGGTAACGAAGAAAGTTATTGATGTCCAGCTACTAAAAGATATAGTGCCTGGGTTCTTAAAGTCTGATAGTTAAACAAGAGGTCATCCAGCAGGGAAACAACAAAGCCCACATGGAAGAAGCATGTCAGGCTGTGTAATCATGAGGTGTCATTGGGAAAAGGTATCAGAAGTTCAAAACCAAGCAACAAAATCGATACAAAAGGGTGGGGATATAGTGGAGACCCAAAACCCACCTGCAAGTTAAAGTCCTTCTAAGAAGGGCCACATGGAAGGGATGATAAATCCGGGGTGTGGTATAGCACTGATGAATCACATCACTATGATCTAGTGCTTTAATATTTCCACCCCTTATTATTATATTTTTTAGTTTTACCCCATTAATGATGTTAGATTTGGTATGGTAATTTGTATAATTAATTAAGATTGTTCAATACATGAAAGCCAAGACAGATAACCCTTCGGAAACAGTAACACGAGTAATGGTTCCCTGAGGGTACGGGAAGAATGGAAGGGGCGAAGGGAAGGAGGAACTTGTAGCAATGAGGACTGTTTAAACCCACTCCAGGGGAATGAATAACAGAATTGTAGGTGAATGGATACACTGGATGGTGTAATATATCGCAAAATAAATAATAATATATAATAAGGGTCCCTGGGGGTGGTAGGGTTGGAGAGGGAGGGGATAAAGGGGAGCAAAGATTAAGAAGAAAAGAAAATGCTTTGAAAATGATGGTGGCAGCAATTGTTCAACTATGCTTGATCTAACTGAATTATAGATTGTTACACTATCTGTAAGATCTCCCAATAAAATGATCTTTTACAAATGTACAGCCTCTGAAACCCCACCTATGAAGGGACACCATGAGTCTAAATTGACTCATTGGCAGTGGCTTTATATTTTTATTTAATGGTATAGGAAGTAATATTCAAACTCTTCAAACTCCAATCAGCCAAATGTGGGGCATGGGGGAAACACATAAATTTATAGAAAACTAAAAGTATTGAAGATAGTTACCTAATATGTTTAGTATAAAACTACTTATCACCTGGAAAACATGTTTTAAATGGTTGTACTATTTTATTACCACAGGGAAATCAAAGATCATAAGCCATCTAAGGAGATGGTGGGAAAAGTGTAGAAACATATGGAAGATCCTTACACAAGGCTTAGCAAATATTATGTACTGTTATTAATAGCTCGGACCAAATAAACTATTTACCAAATAAACTATTTAAAAAGGGGAAAAAAAGTGCTGCTGCCAAGCTTTCTTGGTACTATCTTCTTTCTGACTAGCTGGTTTTGAATATGTGGGCTACAGGTAAAGCAACTCTCTTGCTGCATCAGGTGGCCTGAGGAGTGGAAACACGCAGAGTGAACGAATGAGATGGTACAAGCTTTGGTTCCTAATGTCTTCCTTCATAAGAACCCACACTACTTGCCTCCATAGTTTGGCATGAGAAATCGATTTCTGTCTTGAATAAGCTACTGTTTAAGGCAGACTGAAATCCTAACTGCCACGTATGCCAAAAACATTCAGTAAGAGCCCGACAGTGCCATGGTAGTGATGACAGTTAACCTCCCAATATGATTGTCAATCTTTCCACCTACATAGAGATCAAGCCTTAAAATGAGAGACAGTTATCTTTTCATTAAGTTCTAGATATTTTACACTACTACTATTTGGAATTATGATAATTGGTAGTTCTTTCTTTAGGACTTAGGGGTTATTTAGAATGTTTAGAGAGATAAATGAGTGAAACGCCAAATCAAACTATTTGCAAAACAAAGTAAAATAGAGGGTTTAGCTGCTGAGGAAAGGGCCAGAAGAGCCCTGGTGGCATAGTGGTTATGTGTTGGGCTGCGATCTGCAAGGTGTGAAGTTCAAAATCACCAGCCTCTTGCCGTGGGAGTAAGCTGGGGCTTTCTCCTGCAAACAGTTACAGTCTTGGAAACTCACACGGGTGCTTCTACCCTGTCCTATAGAGTTGCTAGGAGTTGCCATCAATCCTATGGCAGTGAGGAGAGGGAAAATCACCTCAGAACTGAAGATAATTAACAAACACAAAATCATATTAAATGGTCAAATGAAATTTGGAATTTGGGAGCAAGCTTGGGTTGGTCTTTTGAAATTGGTCTAGAACAGGGTGGCAAACTTTTGAGATGCAAGAGCCAATCCTGTCCCTCACAACAATTTAAAAATTATTCAAAAGCCATAGTTATATTTTTATAAACAAGTGAATTGCCATTATTTGAATAATAACCTTTAAATAAGACTGCTATCATTTAATTTTCACTTTCAATTTTACTTCACAGCCACATATGGCTCTTGAGCTGCAATTTGCCTACTCCTGGTCTAGAACAATACAATTGTCCAACATAGAAGAAAGCAAGGCTAGGGACTTGTAGAATGATTCTTCCTCACCTACCCCACCCATTATCTATAAAATCATTTTACAAACAGATCTTATAAAATGCAAATGTTAATTCAGATGACTTAGAATGGGGCCCAAACACTGCCTTTCTAACAATTTCCATATGGGATTGGTTCTGATGGTCCATCCATCGACTACACTTTGGGTAGCAAAATTTTATATACAACGGCCAACAAAAAGCTAAACCACCCAGTTTGACAATGAGCAAAAGATTTACACAGAGAGGCATACAAATGGCCAACCAGTACATGGACAGATGTCCAATCTCATTAGTCATCAGAGAAAGGCTAATCAAAATTTCAATGAGCTACCACTTCACCCATTATCCACTGTTATTTGGTCAATTCCTAGTCATAGCGATCCTGTAGGACAGAAGAGAATTTCTCTATTGGATTTTTGAGCCTGTAAAGCTTTATGGGAGCAGCCTCATCTTTCTCCTACACGGCAGCTGGTGAGTTTGAACCATTGGCCTTTCCCACTGCACTGCCAGGTCTCCATTCATACCCACCAGGGAGGCTATTATCAGGAAACAAATAGAAAATAACAGGTATTAACAAGGATGTAGAAAAATTGGAACCCTTACCCATTGTAGATGGGCATGTAAAATGGTGCAACTGTTATGGAAAGCAGTTTGGCAAAGCATTAAAAAAATTATTGTTTTTGTGTGCCATCTAGTTTATTTTGTCCCATAGCAATCTCCGTTGTCATCTTTATGGTAGTGAAAAATAACCCAAAAACCCTGGTCTGTTTCTCCCAAGGAATGACTTGTTATTGTTAAGGACAGTCTAATCAGCTCTGACTCAGAGTGACTCTATGCACAACAGAGCAAAACACCGTGCAGCACTGCATCATCTTGACAATTGTTATGTTTGAGCCCATTATTGCAGCTACGTGTCCATCCATCTCCTCGGGAGTCTTCCTCATATTTGCTGATCCTTTACTTTTAACAAGCTGATATAGTTTCCCAGAGATTGGTCTCTCTGATACCATGCCTGTAGTATATGTTATCAAAGGCTCCCAATGTTTAGCTTCTAAGGAGCATTCTGGCTGTCCTTCCTGCAAGTCACATAGGTTTATTCTTCCGGCACTCCGTGGTGCTGCCTGTATTCATCACCAGCAAATGAATCAACGCCTCTGTGATCTTATCCGTGGTTCAGTTTCACATGCAGATGAGGCCATTGGAAACACCCGGGTTTGGATTCAGTGCACTTCCGTCCTCTAAATAACATCTTTCACTCTTTTACATAGAGCTGGTGCAGCGGATTTTCCCATGCAATGCATCCTTTGATTTCCTGACCGCTGCTTCCAAGAGCATTAGTTGTGGATCCAAGGGGAATGTCATTCTTGACAACATCATCCATTCCTCCATTTTTTATAATGTTGCTAATTGGTCTAGTTGTGAGGTTTTTGGTTTTG